AGCAAAAAGAATGTAGCACATCTTTAATATTCCACAACATTTCTCCCTTTTTGTCTAAATAAAAATGAAAGGTTTTAACTTTAACATAGTAAAATAACACACACACACACACACACACACACACACACACACACACACAGAGTTACCATGTAAAGATTACATTCACAATGTCCAGTCCATTTATGTCTGGCAAATTTAGAGAAAATACACCATTATCCATCTTATCTTAGTGAGTCCAAAGTTTTATATCTAATTTCCTTTCTATCATAACTAAGGAAAACTGTAACTCTAATTATTTAGTCTTTAACTCCATAAAAGACCCTAGAAGGATGTAATATTACCTAACAACAGAGACATCTGGCTTCCTGAACAGTCACCCAAAGTTCCTCTACAACATTGGGGCATCTATCTTGAGCCTACAGGCCTACTATATCTGGAAGACTTTTCAGTGAAGCAGAAAATTTGAAGGACTATCCCACCTTGTATTAGCAAAGCTCATCAGTTACTTTCCTCTGTGTCCATCAGAATGTCTGACAGACTCTTCCATGAAGCAGGAACCCTGAAGAACCATCCTGCCTTGTTTTGGCAAAGTTCAGCAGTCATTGTTCTGTGGATCCTGCATGTTCAGTCTACACAGCATACAGATCAAGGCAAAAGCAGTTTCTTCCCAAATGCCTAGCCTTGACACATTGAAAGCAAACTCCATATGGAGTTTCTTCAATGCCCATCATCCTTTTAAGAAGTAAATTGGTGCTGCCAGCAGCAGATGTGTCTCATTGTCAGGAAAAACCTTAGCTTATTAGACATCTTAAATGCTATATTATGTAGGTCTTTGAAGTGTTTGAAAATCATCTATCTATCTATCTAAAATATACCTGTTTAACCTTGAAAACACACCTAATGTGACTAAAAATTTGATTATTATAGATTAACTACTAACCTCATTTCGTAAGTATACATTGCATTTTAAAATGAGCTGCATAAGCACAGTACCCCAAACAAGAGTAGAAACATATATATAGTATAACAAAAATAATTTTAAATTTGTATAAATATACCAAAATCCATGCCAAAGCAAAATATCTGCGATAAATAGTTGTCTTTTTACCCTATATTTTTATATTCCCCTAAATGATAACAAATATCCATAACCCATCAAATAACCAAAGACCACTCACCCCATCTCTTGGGAATGTGGGCATCATGTTCTCCAGACTGCTTCCTGTTGTCAGTAGGCAAAGCATCTTTAAGGGTTCCTGAGAAAATTGAGATAATGACTAAGTCCTGGGAAGACCAGTGGTAACCTTGGTTGATATATATCACCTGTCAAGATTCAGGAGATCTAGCCGGGCGTTGGTGGCGCACGCCTTTAATCCCAGCACTCGGGAGGCGGAGGCAGGCGGATCTCTGTGAGTTCGAGGCCAGCCTGGGCTACCAAGTGAGCTCCAGGAAAGGCGCAAAGCTACACAGAGAAACCCTGTCTTGAAAA